AGATACTGAGCTTTGGGTGACGGGAGGACGCTAGTTTGTGTCCTCCCGTGACCCTTAGGAGAACTATGGGGAAAAGCCCTGACCCCATAGTTCTCCTTTAACCACTTAACCCTTGCAGTGTGGGGATAGTCCCACTGCAAGGGTTAAAATTTCCTTTGCCCGGAATTCTTCTTTATGGAGCTGCCCCAGAGGCATGTAGTTTAATTTTGCATCCTAATGGGGCTCGGCTTGATTTGTATGTGGAACCCTGTGCAGGAGCTCAGACACATTTTACTGTCTCACACTATAAATCAGGGCCGGGCTGTAAACAGTTGTTTCCTAACCACTCATTTTATGTTCGTTTTTAGAATTATATTCCCCGTTGGGAAACATGATCTTGATGACAATACATTTCTCTTACAAGGAAAAAAAACACAACAGTATCTATCAACTGGATGCAGCCACACTAATCTCCCCCAGAACATGTGCTTTCCCAAAGAAAATGGGAGCAAATGAATCAGAGAAATGGCTGAGAGCCACTGACTGGGTGTAATTATATCCGGAGCTGACCCAGACACAGCACGGCTGGACGGATATCTGCTCATCGCACACACATCCAGTTACAGGACACCCGGCCTTCTTTATTAGTTGTGTGACACACAGGGGTGTAACTAGAAATCACAGGGCCCCATAGCAACATTTTGTAAGAGGCCATGTGATCTCTAGTTACACCCCTTACAGAGCCCACCTGATATCCCAAACAGCCCACCTGAGAGTGACCCTGCAGAGCCCCCCATAGACTCTCTGTGGTGGGCTCTGCAGGGTCTCCGGTGGGCTGGTCACACCCCTGCACGCCTCTTACCTATCAGCCCCGCTCCTCTGTCAGCCTTCTCCTCCTCCAGGGTCACCAGGCCCCGCCTCCTCCTACGCTGGCGCCACCGGGCCTCGGCCTCCTCCCTTGCAAGCTGCTGGCGGTCACTGACTCAGCAGCGGCTGTGAAAAGGAACAGCGCCGCTGCACAGATCACTGAGAGGTTGTCAGTGATCTGGACAGTGGCGTGTTCCTCCTCACAGCCTTCAGTGACAGTCCTGCAGCCTGCAATGCCAAAGCGACCCAGGCGGCCCGCACGGCATCAGGGGGACCCCTTTGTTCCTCATCCTGTCGGGGCCCTCCTGTGCCCTGGGCCCCATAGCGGCCGCCTGTGTCGCTACGGCAATAGTTCCACCACTGGTGACACAGCAATTCTATTCTGTGCTGACCTTCCCGAGGGTTGTACATATTAAAGACACAGTAGTCTTAAAGAAACACATATCACGCTGCAAGGGTTAACTTCTCATTTTGGTCTAGGGGCTAAAATAAAGGAGATACGCTCATCTGATCTTCAGTCCCATCTGGCTACTAGACTGGTCCCCCCAGCCTCTACTGCATCGGGCTCTAGCGGTCTAAGGACCCGTGACGTCATCACGTCTTATGCAGGTCTATTAGGCATGAGGACACCTAGGGACATACCACAGCCGGAGCAGAGGAGGGGGAGAGAGGTGAGCAGTCATTGCCGCCGGACTGAGGATCAGGTGAGTATATCTCCTGTATTCGGGCCTCTAGACTAAAACAAGCAGTTAACCCTTGCAGTGTCGGGGTAGCCCCACTGCAAGGGGTACATTTCAGATTGCCTGGGGTTCTTCTTTAGAGCTTGTTCACAGCAAATGCGTTCCAGATGCAGAGCAGTTACAGAACACATAAAATACGAGTCAAATGTATTCCAATGGTATTTTGGGCTCTAGTTCACACCAGAGTGTTCAGTTCCAGAGCATGTAAAAAAACTGCAGCATGCCCTATTTTTCCTGCTCTGGAACGCATGCAAATGCATAAAAAACGCATTCAAACGCCCTGGAATGCACTGAAAGCCCATTTGTTTTTACAAAAACGTCCCAGAACGCGTCAAAACACACTGCACTGCGTGTGCAGAAAGTCATGCAAATCTGGTCTGCATTTGGTGTGAACAATCCCGGAAACGTTCACATTTCTTTAGAAATAATGAATCCAGATCAGTCGCCGTTTCTTTACATTTTTGTCGAGCACTTAACAGTCAACATGTTTGTAACTGCATCTGATTGGCTGCAGTCACTGTTCGGTGGACATTTTTGGCTCCTTCCACAGCAGGCGATTGAACGATTGAGCTGGGTGCCGACAGGATCTGTCCTGTTTAATCCACTGCAGCCATATTCCAGAGAGCGCCTCCCATATGGTGCGCCGGTCTGCTTCCAGCAGCCTGTTCTGTGCAACTTCCCTCTACCAGCTATTTATCTCTGTTAAAAGCAGCTTATGGCTAGTATTGGTGACGCGGCTCATCCTAGTGTGAGTTATGTGTAATTCACTGCAGAAAGATTCAAGAGAGCACCTTACATGTGAGGTGGGTGGGTCTGCTTCCAGAAGCTTGTGCTGTGCAATTTCCCCTTCTGTGCTTCATATATCAGTAAGGCAAGCTATGAATCTGATTGGTGGCTATAAATATATTCTTAGTACTAATTATATTGATCTATTTTCTTTTACATACTGAACATTCACATCAGTCACTGCCCTCAAGTTGCTCACAATCTAAGCTCCCTATCTCACATGCATACATACGAGGGCCAATTTACCTTCTGGCATGTCTTTGGAGTGTGGGAGGAAACTGGAGTACCCGAAGGAAACCCACGCAAGCACAGGGAGAACATGCAAACTCCTTGCAGATAGTGACCCGACTTTGATTTGAACCAGGAACCCCCAGTGCTGCAAGGCAGAAGTGCTAACCACTAAGCCACACATCACGCATATTTGCTGAAGTCCTAAATGGTCAGACCCAACTCCTATTAACTTTAAGAGGGTTATTCACGAAGGAGCCGAAGGATACAGTCGTAGCTTCAGCTGATCCTTCGGCTCTCTTCGGCTGCAGGAGCCCTTCAGTTCAGTCGAACCGAAGGGCTGCTGTATGGGCTATTCACTATAGCCCATACAGCAGCCGTAGGCGGCCCCGACCCAAAGGCATATGCTACAGCTCGACTGAGCCGAAGTGACAGCCGAAGCGGGGCGAAAGGCTGGCCAAAGGCCGGCCTTTCGCGCCCCCCCCCCAAATGACAGCTGGGCGGAACTAGCCGTGATCTCACGGCCAGCTCCGCCCAGTTGTAATGGCAGATCAGCGTCCCCTAATGAACTGGGGACGCTGATCTGTCATTAAAGAATAACATCTGCCCGGAGCAGGCAGTGACATCACGGCTGGCTCCGTCCAGTTGTTATTTATTGTCCCGGACCTGCTAAAAGACTCTAGCCATTGCCGGCCAATATTAAACAGTTGGGTGGAGCTAGCTGTCACTGCTAGCTCTACCCAATTGCTTTTTTTTTTCTTTTGAAAAAAATCTTTATTTATTTTTACATTTTACTATTTATTTACATTTTTAAAAATTTTCCGACCTTTCTTTTATCCCCCGACTATTTTCATTAATTTTCTATTCTGCTCGGCACCACAGAGAATAGCCGAGCCCATACTGAAATCAGCCGTAGTGAATAGCCAAACGTACTTCGGTTCATTTCACTTCAGCTGGGTTATTCACTCGGCTGTCTTCGGCAGCTATGTGAATAAACCTCTAAAATGTTCGCATAAATGAATTCCGGACATGTCACAATATTCAGCAACAGTATAATTTTCACAAATGCGTGTATTCCAAGTAATGGTACTTGAAGGTATTTCTTTGGGATGCACCAATAGCGGAACTGCCATTAAGGAAGCCAGGCGGCGTGTATTGACTCGCTGCCTGGCTTCCTGATTAGCCAAGAAGCTGTCTCCATGCTCCACTGTCACTAGGTGATGAGGGAGCATGAAGCCAGCTTCCCGGCCAATCAGGAATGACTTGCCTCCCGGCATCCTGATATCGGAGGTTCCAGTATCGGGATGAGCATCTAGAGAATTTCTGCAAGTACGAGTACTCACCCAAATACTCGCCATCAACACCAATACCGATACTAGTATCGGTATTGGTAAATAGTATTTATTACCCCCGACAGAGCTCACAGGAATCCCACTGACAATGCAAACACACTGCAAGGGTTAACTGTTCATTTTTGTCTAGGTTAAAACAAAAAGTTATACTCACTGGATCTCTGAATTGGTGCTGACAATGTCCTTCCTTCTGGAGGGTGGCTACCTTTGTTCCCCATGGTCCCTGTGTGTGTTGTAAAGTAGTCACCGTTTCAAGCTCACTCGCGTGATGGACTACAATCTCATATTTAGTTTACTAATATACTGTATATTGAGCATGTAGTCCAAGTCGAAGTGAGCTTGGCGCACTGGCTACTTTACAACACAAACATTGGCCATGGGGAACAAAAGTAGCCACCCTCCAGAAGGAAGGACAGTGTCAGCACTAATTTAGAGATGATTGGAGGATCTACAGCCGAGTGATACACAAATAAGATACATTTTATTAATAGATAAGGAACTTGAATGTATTTTTAAGATTTAACTCGTGAGTTCAGTGTCACTTTAACCTTATCAGTACAGGAGTAGCTCCACTGCACGGGTTAATTTTTACAATTCCTGGAGTTCCGGTTCAAGGATTGATAAGCTGTAATGTGTTACAGTTTTGTTTTTTGGATTTAGATACCCTTTAAGATGAGACACTAAAGTACACATAACCTGCCCTCCTATCGCAGGACCAGGAAGAAAAGCTGTCAAGTCCAGTAAGTCCTTCTTTACTGAATTAGCCTTAATACTACCTTGTTGCATACATATCTGTGCCGGATGCCCTTGGGCCAGCCTTGGCCAAAGTTATGTCTATATAAACTATACATATGATAATGAGCCGCCAACCAGATAAATAATTCCGGTACTGCCGAGCCATTTCCGGCAAGTTCCCACCTCTGATGATTACATGATAAATAAACACGCTCCACCACCCATCACTTATAATAATAAACTAACTGATAACTGTGATACTAATGCTGAAATAGTGCATTTGGGTAATAAAACAGAGACAGTGCACACTTACCTCTGTGAGCCGGGCATTAGGAGTGTGTGGCCGAGTGCGGGGTTAACATATGTGCCTGTGTTTGTCTGACTTAATTATAATCCCTCTCCTGCCACCCGGCTCCGCTGCACTTAGAAACCGCTCAGTAAACATCTATTTTAAGCCATGACAAGCGGGGAGCTAGGAAAGGAGAGCGGCGGACAAATAGTTGCTATAAAATTATATTTATATGTAGAAAACGACTGTATATTTTTTTACAGCACGTATTTCTTCTCATGCTTTCAAGTGAGTTCTTTTCATTTTGCTGGCAACAGACCTTCCGTTGTGCGACAAAATGTAAAACGCCACAATGCTAAAAAGGCAGAAAAATAGAAATAGTTTTTCTGGATTATCATTTTTTTTCTAATACTTTTCTTTTGGACTTCATTTCCTTTTCAATGTCAAATGAAAATATCCACCTGTCTAGTTCACAGCCGGCTTGAGTGTTCTTTTTTTTGAAAAGCAAAATATCACAATCAAATATATAAAAGGGGAAAAAATGAGGTCGGCTGTATGCAAAATAAACTTTCAGAACTTGGAAAAAAAAATTAAATAACCTGCCCTGGTCAGCCACAAGGGAAAGTTACAATGTTGCAATTTGATCACTGGTTTAGAGGAGACTGAGGAAATGCTGCCTCTTGCATGCAGCAGACTGATGACATCATCTCAGCCTAGTCACTGGAATGGAGCTCAATGCTTTTTATTAATAAATGGTGGATGTTCTGTTTCAACAGCCACTTTATGCTTTAACATGCCTCCTTTGACCTCAATCCTTCCTGGCCATATAATCACCAGCTGAATTGGATCCATCCACAGACAGCCTAACTCTCCAATAAGACACAGGTACTTAAATCCAACATAGTCTTACTTCTCAAAGTACATGCAGAGGATCTTTGCTGGTCACATGACATGTAAAAAAACAATAGATCTTTCAAGCCTAGGCTAGATGATACAATGAGCGAAAGCGGGAGCTTTACCAGGCACCGAGGTTCAAGCAGCGGCATTGGAGACAAGAGAGTAGAGCTGCTCAATGTTTCTAAACTGATACAATGAGGGAGCATGGAAGAAGCAGAGAGGGGCAATCTCAGACTATGCCAACTGAAACTAAATAGAAGGGGAGGACACTGGGAAATACCAAATGTATACAGAAAAACAAGTTGTAGTAGCACCAATCTACCACTAGATGTCAGACATATACTATAAAATGTTATGAATACATATGCACTGTAATGGAAATAACAGAAAGTAACAGAAGCTGTGGCAGCACAGTGGAGCTTTTTTTGAAAAATTGTAAAATTGCCGTTTATTGTGACATGTCACAATATACAGACTGAAAGGTCCATTTTAAAGTATATTTTTACTTGTGCAGGAAAAAAAATCGAGAAAACCCCCGCTATGTATTTGTTAGGTGTGCCTTTGTACACAGCATTCAGGTGAAACTCGAATAATTAGAATATCGTGCAAAGTTAATTTATTTCACTAATGCAACTTAAAAGGTGAAACTAATATATGAGATAGACTCATTACATGCAAAGCAAGATAGGTTAAGCCGTGATTTGTCATAATTGTGATGATTATGGCTTACAGCTCATGAAAACCCCAAGAACCCCAAATCCCCAACCTCAAAAAAGTAGATTATCACATGCAATCAATAAAACAAGGATTGCACATAGAACAATATCGGACCTCTGAAAAGTACAAGCATGCATATGTACTCAGTACTTGGTTTGGGCCCTTTTGCAGCACTTACTGCAATTACTTTTGCACGATATTATTCGAGTTTCACCTGTATCTAAAAATATTTTTTCAGTGTGTATTTCTTATCATTTAAGCTGCCCATACACTATAATATTTTCGTTGTTCAACCAGCGGGCTGAACAAAGAAAATGTAACAGATTACTCCATCAATGCTTACGAGCAAATTTTTTTAGGTGGTTGGCTAAAACTTCGATAAATAAGCTAGGGCCTATGGTGAGCAGGGTAATGGGTGGGTAGTTTTAAGGGATTAGGGGAGGTCCTTGTTCAGTTTTGGATTCAGAAACTTTAAATCAACCCTGCTAATTCATTGCCAAAATCATTTAAAGGTAAAGTGTTATTTAAACGCTCACTACACAAGCTGAGATCCATGGGCATACATGAAATGGTGTGCACATGGATAGAGAACTGGCTACAGGAATGTGTCCAGAGAGTATTGCTAAATGCCTCTTTTTCAAATTGGTCTAAGGTCGAGAGTGGCGTGCCCCAGCGTTCTGTGCTAGGCCCAATACTGTTTAACCTGTTTATTAATGATAGCAGGGAAGGTGTTAATAGCCATGTTTCTGTGTTTGCAGATGATACTAAAATTGGGAGGGTAATAGACACGGACGTAGACACTATAAAATTACAGGAGGACCTGGATAAAATAGGGGAGTGGGCAACTATGTGGCAGATGAGATTTAATGTTGAAAAATGTAAAGTAATGCATTTTGGGGTTAAAAACAGGCAAGCGGAATACATATTAATGGGGACTCCCCTAGGGAAGTCAGAAATGGAAAAAGATCTGGGGGTCATAGTAGACCACAGATTAAATAATAGCTTGCAATGCCAGGCTGCAGCAAACAAAGCAAGCAGAGTTCTGTCTTGTATTGTAAAGTGAATGTATTGTAGAGATAAAGCAATCATTTTGCCACTTTATAGATCACTGGTTCGGCCTCAACTTGAGTATGTGGTTCAGTTTTGGTCACCAATCCACAGAAAGGATGTCCTTGAGCTGGAAAGAGTCCAGAGAAGGGCAACTAAACTAATTAAGGGGATGGAGAACCAAAGCTATAGTTGCTAAATTTAAACTTGTTCACGCTGGAAGTGAGGCAATGATTTTGATGTACAAAATGTTTAGTGGTGATGGCAACATCAGCAATAAACTTTTTACTGTAAACTCCCAAAAAAAAGAATAGAGGCCACCACCTAAAATTGATGGAGAAAAGATTTAACCACAAAGGGCGCAGGGGATTCTTCTCAGTAAGAGCGGTTACATTTTGGTACTCTCTTCCACAAGAAGTGGTATCAGCAGAGAGTATTGAACCATTCAAAAATCATTTAGCTACTTTGCTCAGAGACCATAACATACAGGGGTACAGGTACTCTGAAATACTAAACCACCCACGTACTCACATACACACGCACGCATGCACGCATACACGCACGCACACAGACACACAAAGGTTGAACTTGATGGACCTGTGTCTTTATTCAACCTGAAATACTATGTAACTTTGTACCCTATAAAAAAACATGTTTGATGCTCACTTTTCCAGCAGGCAGCAAAAGGAGTTTTTGTCTTGTACTGCTCCATACTATTCAACACCTCCTGGTGTGTCAAACAGCATGTACCTTGCTGGGCATTGTATTTCCTCCTGTCGGACACTACGTCACTACGGTGTTCTAGAAGGATCCTTTGCTTGGAAACACAAAAAATGCAGCACAATGGATTTTTTTAACACACCACACCCTTACTGCTAAATGAAGGACTAGAGGTGTGAGTACTTTTTTTATGGTAGAAAGTTGTGTAGCCATAAGGGCCAAGAGCTGTGCCATTTTGAAGTTCAGCTACGCTAGCCCCACATTGGCTGCAGTGGCAAGTACGCAATGCAGAGTAAGGGAGAGCCAGAACAAATTACAGTCTGTGCTCTCCCTACAAAATCTTTCCCTGGCCAATGAATGGATGTTTGTAGTCAGAGTGCATTAGAGACTACTGCCTGTAGCTGCTGCAGAAGTGGAGTAAAGGCAAGGTAATTAGGAGGAGGAGTGTATTATTATTGATTATGTAATTATTGCTGTCATTGCCCATTTGTTGCCCAACTAGTGTCATGACTGCCCATTTGTTGCCCACCTAGTGTCATGACTGCCCATTTGATTCTCACATACTCTCACAATTGCCAGTTTTTTGCTCACATATTGTCACGTTGCTCATTTGCTTTCCATGTATTGCCATGACTTCACGTTTGTTGCCAAAGTATTAGCACAACTACCCATTACCTGCCCATATATTATCACAATTGCCCATTTATTGTCTATGCATTGTCACAATTGCTCATGTACAGTATTGTCATGTCAGAAAAATACAAGCTGGAGTTCTGCTTCAATTCTTGTTATGTGGTGAAGTCTTCAGTAAATCTTCAGTAAAGGGTTATCTTCAAACCTGAGTTCTTATAACTCCTCTGTTCTAGTTAACCATATTTTCCCAAAATCCTGACGAGCCTAAAATAATCAGCAGTAAGACATAACACATACCTCCCCAAAATTTTAAGATGTGAAATGTGGGACACCTTTAAGCTTTATTTATGATCTGTCTAAATACTGCTCCATTCACCCAACCAAAACCAAATATCTTTGAGACTACACATGTCTCTTTTAGAGTATATGGATTAGGATTGTCCTACCACAATTGGGATGTGTTCAAGGTTTGTTTTAACACTAGCCCTATTAAATTAAATGGCGTGTAAAACAAAGACTAACGGTTATTCACTAAAGGGTGAATAGTTTGGAGAAGGCAGGAGCAGGGAACAATCTAGGACAAAACAGCTGAACTGCAAAGAGAGCTGAATTGTATAATTTTTCCAAATCAGCTATATTGTCATAGATTGTTCACTTCTCCTGCCTTCCCCAAACTCTTCACCCTTTAGTGAATGACCCTGTCAATGTTTTCCTCATATAATGGAAAAAGTGGAAAGAAAGCGCTGGAGCTGCAAGGTTGTCCTATTGGTCTAGCTATGCAATTGTTATATGATTTTTGTGTTAGTATAAGTGATCTGATTACTGGAGAGTGATATTAGTAGGGTTACCACCTGTCCAGTATTCAACCGCACAGTCCGGGTTTTGAATGCTGTGTCCAGGTTTCATGGCAGCAGAAACCCAGGACACAAGATGCCAGGCAGACAGAGACAACCAAAATTAAGATAGGGGCTACTGGCCCCCCACTGAAAATAGTCTCAACTGTGATATTTACATATGAATGGGTGGTGCTATTTACATATGAATACGCCGCGACTCATTCTCCCCAAAAAATTTCAGTGTGCTGCTAGAG